AAGGCCTTCGACACATCCAAAATAGGCGATGGCTTAATTTGAGGTATACAAGATCAAATTGAATAAGCCACGCCCAATATGAACGCAACCTCATTTGGGGTCAAACAGAGATCACGGCACGGGGGAAGTGACGTAAACACGTCGTGTACATGTAACACATGCTATTTCACTGTCGATGTCGCATGGCTAACTAATACTTTGATTGTCATGGATGCCGCTATCACTTGCGTAATGTAATTAATTCTCTCATTCTCAACTCAAACCTAATTGTCCTCTCACACAACGAATTATTATATGAATTACTACAACAAAAATAAGACTTGCTATGAGGATATCCTGCAATATTTCTATGATGCAATCATCACAAACTTATGTAATATTCCACATTACAATTGAATCATAATACTTCAATAATTCACATGATAGAAAAATAAAACATGTCTTCTCCCTGTCAGAAAAAAATTGTGTACTACTTGCTCTACTAAAGCGTGCGGTCTACTTACGCTCTAGAAAAAATATAGTTCGCTCTCTTATCGTCAAATGCAAGTATTACAACACTATGCTCACATTACTACGCCATCCTGACATAATTGTGTCATGTGTACTATTACAGACAACTTGGTCTGTTACAGTATATAACACTCTTAAGTATTTATGTTTATTTTTTTTCCCCAATCGTAGCTTAAACTTTTATTTTAAAACATTGCATTGACACAAAAACGCAATTTTTTAAAATATTAACTTTGCTTTCTTGCAGCTGTAACGAGCTCACCACTAAATCTCAGTATTGTTGGATCAATTATTGCTTTGCTTGTCCTTGCTGCACTGATAGTGGCCGGTGTCATCTTATGGAGGTCTGAATAGAATGTGCACTTCAAATTTATATGCACTTACGACTGTTTGGCAATAAAACTAAATCTGTGTTTGTAAAATATAAAATAAATGAAAAATACGATTTTCACAAAAAAAAACTACCTAAAGATTGAAAAATTTAATTGGATCAACTCTATCTGTCAGTTGTTATTTAAAGAACTTTTCTTAAATAATTTCTCATTGTTCTATTGAAAAGGTACCATTTCAAGCTGTTAAATGATATTTGTTCACTAGTTTTAATAGAGCATTTCTTTTTTTACCACCAGACGCCGTGAAGGCGTATTTAAAAAGATTGACGAGAAATCACGCAGATCAGAGATGGATGACCTTGGACTGTCCGGGTTGTGTAAGTCAGATTTAGTATGTTCCTGTAGTGATTATAAATTAAATGAAATAACGTGTTGTTTTGTTTCTCCTCATGTCTTATTGGTTATAAACAATGTTTTATTGTTAACATCGCATTCAATATGACAATGTGTTTGAATGAGAGTAACTTCAAATATTTCTTGAAAGAAGTGACTTAACAGATACAAAGTATGCGTAAGATGTAAATCTATAAAAAGAATAAAAGTTAGTGCAACCTATTAGAAATATTTTCTGTCAATCTAAAAGTTTGATGTTAACGAAATCTAATATTACACCATTTTGAGTTAGATCCTACTTATTGTATGTAATAGATTCATTACCTTTTCTATAGTTTGAAAAGCTGTTGTTAAGAAACCGATAAATGCGGCAGATTACATATATTTTACCAATGTAGAAATAAAAGAACACAAAATATTCTGCTTGGAAACTTCGATATTTGTTGGAAAATTTAAAATAAAATCCTTTAAAGAATAATTAAATTTTCTTCGTAAGATAATTTTTATATATACAAAAATAATAAAAAGTGATCCTATAAATTCTGTGTAAACGACCATACGATACCATCGATTGTTTCAATTGACTCGGTTCATTCTATTGTTACGTTGAAAGCATATGAAGCAAGTAGCCGGGACAGGCCGATCATTGACATCACATACAACAACCTGCAGCCAGTGTTTCAAGATACATCCATAGCCATAAAGGACTTTAATTTTTTCATGACTTCCCACAAATTGGAATATTTTGAAGATCAGTTTAAGGTAGAATTCAAATTACTATTATCAATTTTTTTTATAAAAAATTAATTGTGTCAAGTGTTAAGCTTAAAACACCCAGAACGTGATTTTTATTATTTCTATGTTTAAAATATTCCGATAAATATATTTTTTTTTAAAAATATAGCTGGAATGGAGGCGAACGCCTTATAATTGGACATATTTGATAAATGCCAATTAATAAATCCTAGAATACATTTTTAATGGATAACTATTATCTAATGTTTTAAAATTAAAAAGTGTATTTTTTCCCTTGGCAAATACATTTTCCTTTTTGTAGATTTAACCCCCCCCCCCACTCTAATATTATGCAAAGACAGTGTAAAAAATGCAGCTTTAGTATCCTAATTAAAATGTATCGAATGCACAATTGCCTCTTATCACACATTTGTTTTACATTAATGATCTTTAAAAATCGCTCACACGTTTAATGGTATTATTTCAGAGCATACCGCTCCCGCAAAATGTGTCGATGGCCGTTGGTCAAAGTATGCAAAATAAGGAGAAAAACCGCTACAAAAATATTTGCACATGTAAGAAATTTTGTTGGGGGGGGGGGGGTTAAGTTGTTGCTTTTTTTTATAACTGTAGCTAGTTTATAATAAAAATCTAAAAATGTTTACACTCTTAACTTTGTGTTTTATTGTTCTATTTGTAATCAAAATTTCTATTTAATTTTGTAAGCTTGAGATTGATTATTACAATTTAAACAATTGCTTTTTATAGACGACCATTCCCGTGTTCGCCTAATGAGAAATACGGACAAAAGTGAAGAGCATTACATAAACGCATCTTACATTAAGGCAAGACAATGCTTCCATGAGAAAGTTTTTTTTTCTAAAATTGTAATTGATAAAATTTATACCATCGACCTAGCCCATAAGAATGTTATGTTTTCAGGCTTCTTTTACTCTTTTTTTCGGTTATAGATTGTGTAGAAGTTAGATTCAGGGTTTCTTTCGGCTATATCTCCGGGGGGAGGGGGGCACTGCTCCCCCGGGGAAAGCCAAGTGCCCCCTCTGACCAAAAATATGTCCAACAATAAATCAACTGGAACTGCTGGCACTGCCTGCCCCCCCCCCAATAAATCTGAAATGCCCCCCCCAGCCCGGGCGGAAATTTCTGAAAAAATTACTGGTTAGATTGTCTATCGAAATCTCATCACTATATTTTGGTGTGAGGATTGCCTCTGCGGCTGAATAGCATTTTAAGAAAACGTCCGATAGCTTCGTTGATACGTTTGAACTATCCAACGCCCAACAAACACCGAAGTACCGGCTTAAGGGTGATAGTTTGTTACCCAAAGAGAGGGAGGGCGTGTTTCAGTTAGCAGGAAGCTCTGCCGCCTGTCTTTTTTAAAGCACAAGATGATAGCTCAAACGCCAATGTTGGTGAGGTAGTCGTTTGGATTTCATTTTAATGCAGGCCTGGTCATACGGAGCAATTGATATCGTAAGAGTGTAATTTGTACGTCGAATAATGTTCGTCAGTCGAAATCGACTTTGAACTCTTTGATCGTCTATGGTAATTGTGAACTTAGTGAGCAGATGGCTGATGAGGCCGATTCTGGCACGGAATTTTCTAGCGCATTTAAGTGCATGTGTTAGAAGGAATATCTCCAGGGGAAGAGTTAATCCGGGCTTTTATCGTATTTATTTTGTGTTCTGAAGCCGCTGTTCTGTTGGCTTGACGTTGTCTGGAGCCTTTATGTATAGAGGAACGCCACGGGCTTGGTTCTTTGTCGCTCATTAAAATGTGTCCGTGTCGAAATCGAATGCTTTCAGTGAGCCTTTAATGTTACATTAATAGCGTTTCTTCTAACCACAAGCAAACTATCTTCCACGCTAGTTTTGTATGGAATATTCTATTGGGCAAGCCATCTTCTGACATTAACACAACATGTCCCGCCCCGCCTATCAAAACTGGGAGTGCATTAAAGTGGTAAAGATGCAGGGGAGACCAACCTTTGCAAGTACTTCAGTGTCTGAGCCTCTGTTTTGCAATTTGATGTTTAGGATTTTTCTGAAACCTGTGACGTGAATGTGGCTCATTGTATTTTGCATGGTATTGATAGAACGTCCACGTTTAACTGGCACCGGGAGCACATTCGCCTGGTATATCATCATTTTAATTTGAGAGCAGATACCTCGCCTGGTCCATAAATTTTGAGACAATCTGCCATTTGTTGAACTGTGTCTTGGAATAAGAAAGTTAATATCGTCATATTTTAATGCTGCTTTGGGGCAGTGTGCTGCCAAGGTATGAGAAGCCATTTTCCCCCTTTAAACCGTTCGGCATTTGCTTGAAGGTTGGGCTTAATGTGTTCGTCTGCTTGTGGATAATTAATGGCTCAACGACGAGGCTTAGGCGATGCAGGGCTATACGGATAGACATGACCTGAGATAGTTCTACTCCGCTCTTAAAGCAGTTTACGGCCCCACTTTACAAGGGTCATCCCTCAACTCCTGAAAGCTGATAAGAAATCTCTTATTATTAATAAGGAAAATAATATCACAAGAGTAGGAAAAGCTTGGCAGACCACAGTATCACTTTTTTGTCTTCAAAATATTAAACATTTTCTTAATTAAATTCCATACATTTACCATGTTATTAAAAGAATTCGGTTTGCATGTTTCTAGTTTTCTTTTTTTTCCCCCTCCATTGTAAAATATAAAAAAAAACGATATACATTCCATTACAGGGCCACGATAATCAAGACATGTTCATAGCATCTCAAGGTTGTGGAAAGTTTTTCTTTGTTTTGTATAGCATATTATATTTATTTAAACCTAACAGATATTAAAATGCGAAATACACAATTTGTTAACTGACATGGACTGCATTAAATTCACAAAATAGCAAATATTTTAGTGGTATTGACATTAACAAAAGCATATTTCTTAAGGTTAATTGCTAATGTGTGTGATGTTTAGTTTATAACTCATTATATTCTTCTAAAACATTAAAATTGCAAATGGTTCCATTATAGGTCCGACAAAAGTGATGCTGAATGATTTTGTTCGCATGATCTGGGAGCAAAAAGTTGAGGCTATTGTGATGCTAACAAACCTAATAGAGGAAGGGAAGGTTTGAAAGTTGTTCAATGTATACAGCTAAAATATTATGGATTAACGTTGTATCTTTTTTATGTCATTATAGTCGGTCAAATTTAAAAATAATTTTAAAAAAATATTATCAATGTTAAGAGATTTTCTTTACCTAACCCTCTTAATAGGTAAAATGTGAGAAGTACTGGTCCGATGCTGGCGAAGCACAGTTTGGTGAGATAACTGTCAAACTAGCAGCCACTAAATCGTTTGCTGACTACATAATCAGGTCTTTCGAGATGTTCAAGGTCAGACACTATTCAACGGGTGTCTAAAAAATGAATAATTTTAGGCAATAAAAACGATGTATTGTTTTGGTTATTTTAGCCGAAATTCCTGAAAGCCTTCAGGCATTTCAAATAAGTTTTGATATTATTCTAATGAATTAATAAGCTCGTATAAACACGAGAATTAATAAAATATATTTTATTTATTCAGAGTGACAAAGAGGTGACCCGAACTTTCACACAGTTTCACTTCACGTCATGGCCAGACAAAAGTGTGCCCGTAACGCCCTGGTCGTTGGTGGAGTTTCTGAAGAGAGTCTCTGCTCAAACTACAAAAAGTCCTGTGGTCGTTCATTGCAGGTATTGCGAGCGACTTTCAATGGTTTAAACAATAACAAGGTATACTTTAGAATATGTGATGTTACGAATATCAGCACATCGGCAAATAGACAGTTTTATTTGGCTTCAACTTCGAAGTGGTTAAATAAAAGCTGCTTCTTGTTTTCCGGGTGTGATCTTATCGTGTAAGGATTCTAAAACATTTAGATACAGTTTTATGAGCTATAAATGATTCACGTGGTCTTAAATAAAAATTTATTTTTTACACATTGATGTCGAGATGCGAGTCTCCTGTATGGCCAAGTCTTTCACTTCATTCCGTTCGACAGTACATCAGACAGTAACAGTAACCAATGCAACAAACATCTACCGGTTTGTTGCAAACAAACATTTATTTAATCACAATTCCAAAACTATGGTTGATACTTAATTTCTGAGCAACAATCAAATCTTTTCAGCACAACACTTAGCAATATGCAAATCACAACAGTCAATATAGCACATCCGCCATCTATCTTCTCTAACAACAACGAAAACTAACGCATCACTTCCCACTACACAACTACGTCACAACACTCTCACACAAACGATACAGCTACACATAAAATCTTTTACTAAACATCTTTTCCCAATCAAACGTTGAAACAATAATCTACACATAACCACAGTGATTCTCAAACCCTTGACAACTGAAACATTGTTGATATAATAATACAAAGAACCAAATAATAATTTTCTTTTATTTACCCTAATTTTTCTTTAAAAATATATATTTTTTTTTAAATATCATAAAATTTTCAAGAATTGTTACTAGAAAAAAAAATAAAAAATTAAGACTTAATGGCTATTTACATTTTAAACAATCCAAAACCTATATTCAGTGCTGGTGTTGGCCGTACTGGAACATTCATTGCGCTTCACAGCGTGATTAGGCAGGCACAGGACACTGGTCGTGTAGACTTCTACCAAACCCTAGCCAAATTGAGGCAGGACCGAATATTTATGATACAGACGGCAGTAAGTCTCTTAGCTGAGTGCATGGCCAATTACGACAGTCTTACATATAAATAATTAGACCAAAAAAAATACCAGATTATTATTATATTGAAGTAATTTAAAATAATTTCTTTTTTTAAAGTACCATTCATTTGAAGTCATTTTAATTAACCCAAAGTATTCCTTGCGTTTTATAATGAAAAAAGAATAATATCCGCACATATGTTAATTTATTTGACTTCATTCAGAGTTATAACATATTAAAGAAAAGTTTTTAATTATTTTAACCAAAGTTTCAAGATTAAAATGTAGACTAAAATTTTTAATATGGCATATTAAATGCACTTAAGAACGAATACATTTTGTTGGCAAATGCAGTTTTTACCTACATTTTATTTTTTATTTAATAAATAACAACAATAAAAACAAAACAAAAAACAAAATAAAAGAAAATTATCATAAAAAGCCCCCCCCCCCATACAATTTAAAGATTGATATGATTGAACAGATATGGTTTTCGTTAAAATTTCTGTGATACAAGGTTGATAGTTATAATTGTCTTAAAAATTTCAATTCGTAGATTATTTGGAGTAAAAGTTTTTTGTTGGAAAATGCAGTTTTTACCTACATTTTATTTTTTATTTAAAAAATAACAACAAAAAAAACAAAACAAAAAACAAAATAAAAGAAAATTATCATAAAAAGCCCCCCCCCCCCATACATTTTAAAGATTGATATGATTGAACAGATATGGTTTTCGTTAAAATTTCTGTGATACAAGGTTGATAGTTATAATTGTCTTAAAAATGTCAAGTCGTAGATTATTTGGAGGAAAAGTCAATGACTAGAAAGTTAAATGATTTTTTTACAATAATGACTACAAATTAAAATAATTAAGTATTGTTTTTTTTTATTTTCAATGTATCTTTTATACCTGCATTTTAATTATTATTTGGCACTTACAGAAATTCAAATGATTTTCTTTTATGAAGCATGTATTTTATAATTAATGGTAACTACATTGTAATAATCGTGTAACGTTTGCTATCTAGGAGCAGTACATGTTCTTACACAAAGCGGCTCAAGCTGCCATTGTGTGTGTTGACACTGAAGTCACGCCAAAGAATATTTGTGACAGAATCAACAAGTTGAAAGAGAAATCAATCACTGGTAAAACACAGTTGGAGGAAGAATTTGAGGTAAGCTATTTGATTCTGTATTAGAAAATGCTAACAAAGAACAGTAAGATAAAGTTTATAGAAATAATATTAAGTACATTCTAGAATATATTACTGATTGCTGTTATGAAATCAACTTTTTTTTCTGCCCGCCTTTACCGGGAAGGCGGCTAGGGTAGGTAAGGTAGACAGATTGTTGCAAGTTGTTAGGCCTGCTAAAGGTTTCGATTGATTGATTGAAAAAATACTTCTTTAGTGCGATTGTCCGTGCTATTTTATCATGCTCATAGCGTTTTGAAGTCCTCAAATCTATTTAAAGAATTAAAATTTCTTTGATTGTTCCTTAAATGATTTTCTATTACTTTCAATTTCCCTTAATCCATGCCAATCCACCACGGCGTATTCTTCCGATGGCCCCCGCTATAAAAGTCTTGTAAAAAAAAATAAAAAAATGTCTAAGCACAAGTTCAGTCCTGATTACTGAAATGTCATCTGAACATGGAACAACCCGTGTCAGTTTGGGTAGCAGCATACACTGTACTTATTCATCTTGGTCTGGCTGCCTGCATTATTTATTCCCTAATACATTCATGTCAGTCGAGGTGGTCATGTTTTACTTCAAACATGCCGATGGGCGAAACATGAATTGGATCGGCTCTATCTTAGTAGCCGAAGAACTAACAGACCCACGGTTAAATAAAAACTGCCGATCTTTTATGAACGCGTTTCATTTAAGGCCAATGCTTGTTGAATTACATTTAATTCCTCATCTATGCCTATACAATCTTCATAATTTATAAGATGCTGTTAAAATATATTTTCGTTTGTTCACGTTTTGTCGATAAAATATGAGTTTGTTTATTAAATAAATAGCGCCTGGGACGAACTCCAGGAAAATTCCGCCCCACAAAAAAAATTAATTAGGAAAATATATAGCGATTATTTTCCGAATGTTGATCATCCAAAACTTTGTTTATTCCAACTGTCTATGTGTATTTTAATCATTGTTTTCGTACGCAATTCACACGATAAAAAAAAAATAAAATAAATTGTGCTTGTAAACACGGGAAAACGATTCCCTTCCCATCCCTACTTTGGAAACACTAACTAGACTTGGAAAATGAAATCTTCAAACTTGTTACTATATATAAAATATTGTTCCTAGTACAAACCACTCCTGATTATATGCTACTTCACCCTAAACGTTGGTGATATTTACTTTTTTTTAAACAAAATGTGCTTTTTTTGCTACCATCCTATTGTACACCGCACACATAGTTATGACACTTAAACGAGAGGAATAAAATGTGACACCTTTTCTCGTGCCACTACAATAAACACACCTCCTTAACTCAATGAATTTTTAATAGCATTCTAAACGTCAGTCGTCATTTTGTTAATACGACACATTTGCGCACAAAACACCACTGTCTTTGCAGGCTTTTGAAATCACTCGGCTGACCCGATGGTAAATGTAATACATTGTATAATAAAGCTTCATGATTATAATAATAATATGAATAAGGAAAATATTATTTTTAAGTGCACTAACTTCGTTCACACAAACTTTCCGTAGAAGTTTTCGGTTATCCGAAGATTTTGTTTCGAAAAATGCCCCGGTCTTATTAGTTCGCAAAATCGACTCTTTCCTATTTGTTCCACATAATTTTATAAACATTGCTACTGATGATAAGAATGTTTTTTGTAACAATAGTATTATGCAAAAAACAGTTTGTAATGTGTTTCTTCATTTGCAGTACACTGATCATTTGAAGATGAGGTCAAACATGCATTTGAGCCAAAAACAAATCCTTTATCCGATAGATAACATAATGAATTGTTTGGTGTTTTTTTTTACCTCATCTATCGTCAACACCTTATTAAAAGTATTTTTTTTTTAAGAAATAGGTCCTACATTTATAGACACTTATGGTATTTTAATCACTAGTAAAGCATTGATTGAAAAATAGTTACAATAACAGATAAAATCTTATTAAATGATGTGAGTTAAACAGCTTTTGTAAAGAAATGTCAAAAAATGTTTTTGCTTTTTCGACGCACAGATAAAAAGATGATGCTTTTAAAAAAAAAATGTTAAATGGATTGCTGTGACTTGTATTCACTGTTTGATATTTAGATGTTCGTTGGAATGTCATTATTAGCAAAGCATGAGGGGAAATTATTATTGCTCTTGATTATACTTGTTATTATTGTAGGAATTATTTTATATTCCAAAAAAAAATTCACTTAAATTTATTTTTTAATAGTCCTATATAAGAAAATAAATATGGTGCTCCCTTCGACCCCCACTCCCCCCCCCCCCTTCCCAGATTTGCCACTGAAAGACGCATAACATATTTTTTTTAAAAGATAATTAAATTACATGGCGAATATATCGTTTTTAATATTTAACTATCACTGATTTCAACTTGTGTAAGGCCGAGGTTAAAAATCGTATCAATTATGTTTGTTTCCTTAATGCGTTGCATTAAGATAGCTATTGTCAGTCTCCAGTTCATTATTTTGCTGTGTAATTGAAAATACAGGGAGTGTGTACATCATGTAAGAATTTTAACATGGACACAAAGGATGCTATAAAGGAACTGGACGACGATGGAAATGTCTATGAGAACAGTGCAAATGTGAACCCTACTCTGAAGAACAGATACGCGTCCATTATTCCCAGTAAGATTGACTTTATAGTGTAACAACTACATGTACATTTTTCTTTTGCAGAGTTACTTTTACCTTTTTTATTATGAGAATGTACGTTTGTATGTTGTTTTGGTTTACATTATATCATGCTATACTGATAATAAGAAGTTACATATTTAAAATAATGCAAATTGTTATTTTTGTATCCAAGGTAATGATAATATCTGTTAAATTGAATATCATACACACATTTAAAATCCGATTATGTAAATACTTTAATGCGAATACTTTAATTTAAAATACCCACTTATGTATATAAATTCAAGTCCAGCAACAAATGCAAATATGTTCTCATCACCCATGTATCAACAGAACAGCGGTTCAGACCATATCTGTCATGTGAGAGCAAGGACATGGGGGAATATATCAATGCTATATTTGTTCCGGTAACATATTAAACTTTTATTTTTTTTTAACATAGGAACTTTTTTAAATATAGTGATATATATATATATATACATATATGTATGTATATATTTATTTATTTATTTTTGTGCTGGCCTCCGTCCGCCTCTTTCCACGCCACTGGATAACACAAGGGAACATCATGACATCAGCGATTCCTTCTCTTAAATGAGTTGCCATCCAAGGTCAACGAGTACCATCCACCCGGGACGCTGCTGATGTTTTTTTGCTTGACGGGGCTTTGGCTGGGATTGAGCTCCAGACCACCAACTTGAAATTTGCTCAGTTTAAACCACTGGGTCACCCTGCAAACAAATATTTTATTTTTATTAATATATATATA